ACATAGACATCCCCCACTGTAACCTGAGACCACTGCTCCTTGTTCTGCCATCTGTCACCACTGAAAACAGCCTCATTCCATCTTTTCTGGAAACTCCCTTCAGGAAATTGAAGGCTGCTATCAAATCCACCCCCCATTCTTCTCTTCTAAACAAGCCCAAATCCCTCAACCTCTCCTCATAGGTCATGAGCTCCAGCCCCTTAATCATTTTTGTTGCTCTCCGCTGAACCCTCTCCAATACATCCACATCCCTTCTATCCCCTTGGTGTCACAAGGAGGAAGGAGAAAATTTGTTCCTCTTGGTTTCTGAGGACAGGACAAGGAGTAATGGGCTTAAAGTGCAGCGGGGGAGGTTTAGATTGGACGTTAGGAAAAAATTCCTAACTGTCAGGGTGGTCAAATATTGGAATAAATTGCCAAGGGAGGTGGTGGAATCTCCCTCTCTGGAGATATTTAAGAACAGGTTGGATAGACATCTGTCAGGGATGGTGTAGACGGAGCTTGGTCCTGCCTTGAGGGCGGGGGGCTGGACTTGATGACCTCTTGAGGTCCCTTCCAGTCCTATTATTCTATGATTCTATGGGAGGGAATGGCCAGAACTGGACACAATACTCCAGGTGCTTTTCATTCTTCAAAAAGAGTTGACAAATTATTCAACTAAATCTCCTTTTGCGATCAACTTCAACCGCCATAATTTTCCACTGTTCTTTGAGAACCAAGGTTTCAAACTGATGATGAGTTAGTCCACATTTTATTGGGCACTGCATCAAAGAACCTTGAGCTGGCTTTTCAGGATTTCAAAGATCCCGATCTTTAAAGTTTGAATTTGATGTGAAAATTTTTTCACAACCTTAATACTCAAGTCTCAAAAGAGGACATCTACTTCAAGTTCTTGCTGATGCCCTTGAAGCAACTGCAAGCTACTTTGGGTGTAACCACCCACATATTTTGGGGTAGTAATAATATGGCACTCATCGTATGAGCACATTTCAGAAACTGATTCCAGGGGCTAAAGAAAGAACTTCCATAGGGAGATGAAAAATAAGAACTACAGTCACCTAACTCAGTGGTTCCCAACCTTTTTTATGCCAGGGATCAGCAAACCCATTCACAAACTTTTGGCAGACCGGTAACATTGTATTTACAGAATTGTATATTCATTATGTAAATAATGAACACTCTTTGACACTTCTCACCCATACACCCCATGCCCTTTGACCCTTTAACCTTTGATCCCTACAGCCCATGCAAAACCCTCTTGCCCCAGGACCCCACCACACTCTCACCCAACACCCCTTTGCACCCCCACCCCAACACTCCCCAGAGCGAGGCTGCCCCCCATGGAGCATGGCTGTTACTGCTGTGCACAAAGGGGGAGAAGCCGTTGGCAGAAGTGTATGCCCTCTTCCTTCACACCCCCTCCCTCTCTCTCGTGTCTTGCACCCCCATGGGGGGGGAAGAGGGGAGGAGTTTGGAGCCCCGGCCAGGCCACCATTACCAAGGAGGGAGGAAGGCACCTCCTCCTGCCACCACCAGCATAACTGCCCGTGTGGGCACAGCACGGATCTCCAGCTGACTGCCATTACCGAAGGGAGGGGAGGAAGGGAGGCGTGAACAGCAGGCTTGAACTCTGGCAGCCGCCGTGGCCTGCAGTCAGTGAGTCTCAGACCGGCAGAGGTCCATGGCCCTACGGTTGGGAACACGCTGACCGAACTCATGATGGACAATTTTTTTTTTTACTGAATTCTTTTCAAGGAGAGGATCTTTCATTTCAGGCTTTACAAGTGCTGAATCAAAAGCAGTAAAAGACAACCTGGGCTCTAAAGGTTTATGAACCTTTAGAAGCACTCTTCAGAAAAATCTAGTCTATATACATGAGGCTGCTATTTATAAAACAGAAGCCAGAGCATCAAGCAATAGCAACCACCATGCACATGGTATCAATACTTTAACTCTATGTAGCAGGTCTAAAGAATTAGCTCATTGTGGCAACAGTCAAATTGACAGTCTGCTAGAGCACTCTACATGCTGACTAAGAAGTACAATGTTTTTTCCACAGTGAGTTTAACTAATACAAGCCTACCACACATACATATCAGAGTAAACTACAGGACTTGATCCAGATATATATGAATGGCTTAAGGATGTATGATTTCCAGCACCATTAGGTTATTCTTTACTGACCAGACAGGGAAGTAGGGAGAAAATATTCAGGGACACAGTTACTGTCAGCACCCAACACCGCACTGGTGGAGAACTACTGTAGTATTACTTTGTATGTTCAAATCTAGATTTCAAGCCAAATGGACATTTATAATTCCATTTTATTTAGATTTTTAAATGATTATATAATTGTTCAGTCAGCTTCACTGGTGGCTGAAATGGCGTTTTAGTTTATACTAAAATGAAAACAAAATATGAACTTAAACTACACTAAAAATAAGAGTTGAAGTGATAATCCCTTGCTGAACAATCTAAAAATCCAACAGGCAGAAAGCCAGTAAGTTCCAGCAGGAAACTGAGGCAACAATTATTTATAAAACTGTAAATATATTTACAATGAGACCAAAACCCCCAAATTACAACTATATTAGGAGTCTTAAACTGCCTTTAGAGTGGTGATCAAACTTTTTCTCCTCATTTGAGTGCATACTATTGTTATATTTAACTAGAGACACTATAAACAGGAGCGGCCCTAGAGGAGCTGCCGGCAACTGGCGCCCTAGGTGAAACGCAATCGGTGCCCCCCACCTCCAAAACGCTTAACGGCCATTTAATTTGGCGCCCTAGGCGACCGCCTAGTTGGCGCCTATGGACAGGCCACCACTGACTATAATTAATGTGTACTGGAAATTCTTATCTGCTTTACATCACTTATTGAAGTAACTTTTACTTATAGGTATTTCTATGGTACTTGTCACCCAAGTATGTCTATAAATGCTCAGCATACAGAAGATATTTTAATGGAAAAATAGGACCTACACTTCTCTGCAATTTATGCTGAAGGGTAACAATGGTAATTCTAGAAGATATACTTTTACTGAGAAAGCTCTTTATGTTTAAATTACACCATCAATTTAGAGGAGATAACTGGCCTATTTACCTATAATTATTTCTCAAGGTGGCAGGCGGCCAGTTACTAGAATTGAATAACCATCAAACTGGGGATCAATTTCCTGTTTTGATTATTTGCGACACTATGTTTTAGTATGTCTCAAATGCTAACAAATACTATCTGCAGAAACTATTTAACAATGGACAAAAACAATTATTATAGATTAATAAGGTTGGAAGAGCTCTGAGGAGGTCACCACATCCAAAATCCTGCTAAATCATCCCAGCCAGAGCTTTATCAAGCCAGGACTTAAAAACCTCTAGGGACGGAGATTCCACCACCTTCCTAAGTAACCAATTCCAGCGCTCGATGACCAAGTTCGCTTCAGTGTAATGAAGCAGGCATCACTCATTCACTTGTGTCCTCTCAGAAGGTTTGGCGCACATGTACAACATAGACACCATGCTTTCTGCAAGGCTTCCCATACACAGGCACGAAGTGAATGAAGGTTAACATTCCTTTCAAAAGGACTACTTGTATGTTTTTACAGCCAAGCAAAATGAGTATGTTTTTCAATTTTTGTGTTTAAAAATTAACTAACAATTTAATGATTTGCCTACCACATTCATATTGCAGGTGAATGGGTTGTATCCAGTTGCAGCATACACCATTTACATGTATACCCTCTTGCTATTTGGAGAACACCATACTTTTCTATCATCATGCTTTGCTGACCCCATTGTTATTTGGATTTCATCATGATGCAAAACAATTTCCCATCCCAAGGATCTTAGCAAGAATTTACTTCATAAGAAATATTTTTACTGCATGTTATAAATTGGTCTGTGCAGATGCCATGGTTAGTTTATGATAGCAATTCTCCTGCCTTCTTACTCTCTTTGAAGCTTCTGTTAAAAAAGCAACAGAAACAGTCTCAAGCTTTCCATTTTGTTTATTAGATCATTAAATGAACTAGCCCAGTTTTCAAAGGGATTATTGGGGGTTGGGGGAGGGGAGGAGAAGAGGTGGAGAAGAAAGGGATTTGATTCCTTGTCATCTTTTTCACAAGTATGACTTCTACCAGCTACAAATTCAGAACACAAACTCTTAATTATGTATTGGTTTTGATGCAGTTGTTTTACTATCTGTAGTTTTTCATTTGCTGCAATTTTGTGCTATATAATGGTTTTTTGATAAAAGGTGGATTGCAGGGAAGGAAATCTTGCCCTCAAGGGGCTCCCTGTTTCTCAGGAAGCAGGGATGCAATTTCCTTCCTTGACACCATCTTGTATGTAAAAAGTTAGTTATATTACCACTAAACTGTGAAATAATCTCAATGAGCTCATTAGTCTAACAGACTTTTCCCCTTAGCAGAAACCTATTAATATATGGGCTATAAAGAAATAACCCCTAAAAACTTTCAGTCAGTGGATTAAACAGTGCCCCAATTAATGTTGAATTTATTGCATTTGAGCCAATATTGGAGACTGGGAGGATGGAGAGCTAGTAAAAGGCTGATAATACACTAGAAAAATAACTAGAATGTGCTCATGGGTCTTCATGATCAACTCTCTTGAAAATGTGATTTATTCAGGGATTAACACTGAACACTTTTCAAGAAGACTGACTACTTCAGATGTCTCTAAATATCAGAGAGGCCCTGAGCATTTACCAGACTGATCGCACCCCCAACTAGGGAGGTAATAGTGTAGATGATTGCCAATAAGCAAAAGCTTATAAGGTTAGTGCTATAGACTACATGCTAGGATTGCCAGATGGTTTCAGAAAAAATATCGAACAACAACAACAAAATACTCCAGGAAAAAAAGTTTGTTGAGAGAAAACAAACAAACAAAACAAACAAACAAACCGTAGCCATTTTAAAAAACTGCATAGTGAGGCTTTTTGGCCCCAACAGACTGCCGGTGGCCACCCGCCATCTTACCTCCCTGCGCTGGGCTGGTCAGCTCCCCGGTAAGTACTAGGATTGCCAGGCTGCCTCCGTATTGAGCCAGACAGCCCAAGATTTTCGTCTCCTGTCCGGGAAAAAAAAAAAATTTAAAAAATGTAAAAAAAAAAAAAAAAAAAAAAAAAATCAGAAAGACCAGATATTTTAGGTATCCGGTATTTTCTGAATTTTTTTTTTTTTTTTTTTTTTTTAAACCAGACAGGAAGCAAAAATACCAGACTGTCCGGTTCAATACTGGACACCTGGCAATACTACTACATGCATTTCTCCCCCGCCATGTTCCCAGTCAGTAAACTTTTTTAGCAGGCTGGCCAGCAACCCGTCTCAGTCCCAGCTTGCGCTGGATCTGGGACCTACCCCTTCTGCAGCTCTGAATTGAATGTGTATTAGGAGCTAGGTGGCCAGGCAGCCCAGCTCAGTTCCAACTCATGCCAGGTCTGGACGCTCAGACTCTGCCCCCCGGACAGGGGCTGCTGCCATCCCATGCTGCTGCCTCTGATACTGTTCCCCTGGGGACTGTACCAAAGTCAAGTGACTGATAAGAATTCATGAAGTTAATCGACTATTCAATTAACCGATATTTAACATCGCTACCCTGTGGGATTCAGACCCTAGAATACATATTCTGATTAACCAACTTAAACAGCTTAACTAAAATGCCATTATACATCAGTAATTAGAATAAGTGTTTCAGAAACTCTGGGACCAATAATTAACATACTCCATAAAAGATGGATATTTTTGCAAGTATGTAATGAGATTTGTTTTGAGCCCTCAAAGTAGTTATTGTTTAAAAGGTTTTACTGATCAACTGTTACAGTGTAATCATATCACATAAGGGAGAAAATCCAATGAGATTCTAGCAGGCTTTTGGCATATCCCAAACAGTTTATGATAATTACACACCATCTCTAGAAATGAAATTCCCAGCTGAAGATAAAACTAGATGGAGATTATTATATTAGTTTTAACCATTGAACACATTATCAACTTTATGATATGTCACAAATAATGTAGTTCAGTTCAAAACCAAAGTTCAGTATTTTTGGTAGAATTAAAAACCCTATGCATGATGGCTAGATAGAAACACAGTGTTGGTACTGGTTAAGATACTAGTTGCAAGCACTATTATACAAGAGAGAAAACTTCCACAGTTCAGAATAAACTACTGTGTAATCAGGGCTCCATGAGTTTTAGCTGCTGAAAATTTAATGCTGAATCAATATATTATTGTAAGTGATGAAACACTGGTTACATTTTCATTTTTAAAAAATACCCTCTTTCATTCAGCCGTGGAAGCTAATCTTCCAAATGCAAATTCTACATAAGCTGATGAGTAGTTTCCAGAGTCTGCCGACAGCCTAAAAGAATAGCTCAGAGATGTGAACTCTCCCAACTCATGCCAATCTGGGTGCCAATGAACATACTTAGTGTCTGTATACTACTAGTCATTTTAGCAGAAGAATCCAGATATTGTGTTTTTCCTAGAGTCTCAAACAGCCTCCCCTGAATAGCTATCTATACAACCCACCCACAGTTTCATGCAATTTAAAATTAAGTTACTAGCATTCAAAACAAAATGTGTCACATTGATAACTGAGGGACTACCTAAAATTAAATGTATATATTAAATACCATAGACTATTGTACTGATATTATTTCATATTTTAAATGAAGATCTACACTTATTGTTTATTTGATGATGATGCAGTATTTTCAGTTTGCAGCTCTGAAAAGGGGTTACTGAAAAAAATTAGGTCATGTTAGGCCTTGAAATGAAAAGCATAAATGAAAAATAAATGAAGATTTTTTTAATCAATAACTCTTGGGTTGCAGAGCTGCAAAAACCCCATGAGAATGTTTAATATTTAGAGATGTTGGCTACTTACACAAATTAAGTCGTATTCTTTCTGTTCTCTGGTGACTTACATAACAATGCAAAATAATTCTAAACACTCAAGTGAGAATCTAAAATAAAAAAAAGATATAATATTGATTAGTTTTTCAATACAAAATCTGCTTCATCATATTAGTTTTAAAATAATTTTTGCTAGCATTCATGTTCATGAGATTCATTTCTAGAATATTCATGGAGAGTGAATGCACAAAAAAGTCAAACACTTAAACTCACTTAAAAATTCAAACTAATATTCACAAAGTACTTTCAGCACTTGTCCAATGCATCATATACCAAGTCTAATGCAGAACATGGAAGAGACAAAAGGAATCCTTATTTCTAATTCTCTGCAGCATGCACTATGGAACACCTTCTGATAATTCTTTGGTCAACACAGACCCAGAGTAAATCCCAGCTCCTCAGAAGTGCTCACTCCATAAAATTACTAAGGAGAATTGTTTCTGGTCCTTATTTTTCTTAACTTGTAAATTCTACATATTCTTCACACAGGTGGTTAATTAAGCTAATGACTAGCTCAGTTAGCTTAAATGGCACTACGCACATACAGGCAGTCCCCGACTTACGCGGATCCGACTTATGTCGGATCCGCACTTACGAACGGGGCTCTCTCGCCCCGGAGCTCGCAGGCAGCGGTCCCGCCACCTCGACCTCCGGGGTGAGAAAAGCTGCTCCCGGTGCCCCTGGTCTGCTGGGGACGGTCTCCAGCAGACCAGGGGCACTGAGAGCAAAGCCGCAG